GAGCTGGGGGGAATTTGGCTGGTTGTAACCTGTGTCTCTAAATTCCTCAGCAGAAGCCTGAGGTAGGTTCAATGCACCTCCAAGGAAGTGAATAGCAGCTCCTGCTGATTTTATTACATTTTGCTGCTTATTCTTATTCACTAGGACAAAAAACCCTTCCCTTACATGAGTAATTCTGCTCCATTTCAGCACAACTGATTATATGAGTAATGTGATCACAAGTGGATCAAAGATGATGATTTAGAATGGAGTTCATGTGTTTAGTCATTTATCACCATCACCCAGGCAAAGGCACTGCAACACCTAAGTGATGTGTAATGTGAGTAATACCTGGTGCTGTGGCAGGAGGGCTTTTTTCCCAGTGAGTTACAAACTCACTGCAGACTAACACTAAATCAGTCTCTAGGATGGCACTGGAGAAGCAGAATTAAATGAAGAATTATGTGTCCTTAAGAGTGATAACAGCATAAAAGTTAGAGTTTGATAATATTCCTGAGCAATGCACACGCACTGCCCAAAGATGTCCTTTTGTAGCAAGGGAATCAGTGTGAGCCAACATGATTAGCCTAAATTAAAGCAGCTAGTTGCCTTCTTGCTCTTAGGCTCCCTTGGCAGCAAGACCCCAAACCCAACCTCTTTCCCTGAGACTTTTTTCTCCCAGCCACAGCCAGCAGAGTGTCCCAGGGTGTGCTGCCCTGCCTGGCAAGCACGATGCCCCTGCTGTTCCTGCCCAAGAGTGAGAGGAGAGCTGCTGGAACGTTGCTGCTGTTTGTGCCAGAGCTCCCAGCCAAAGGACATATTGCTTCTTTCTGTCTTAATTTCCTTGGAGCAGAGCTGGTGACCCTGGTTATTAACTGCACATCTCCCAGCCCCTGTTGCTTCCCAGCCAGTTGTTTAATGAGTGGAACACACCTGCTGGTGCCCAGGTGTGTTAGACAAGGCTCTGGAGGTCCCAGATGCTTCCTGAGCGCATCACTCCAGGGCTGGGGTGGTGTGAGACCTGTGCCCAGGGCTTCCAGCTGGGAGGGAAGGACAGCCAGGAGAGGCAGATGTTTCCTTCACTGCCAGACCAGAGTGCCCAAATCCCACCTGGAGCCGCCCTGGCATTGCTCCTCACCACAGCTCAACAGGTCCATCATTGAGACCTGGTTCAGTAATGCTCAGGCACACGTTTAAAGCTAAGTTTTAATTCTGCTGCTGCATGTGGAATGTGCCCAGGTGTGCAAGTGATGCACAAAGGGATGTTTCTATCCTCAGCTTTAAAAAATTTTGTTGAGGAAGACTCAGCACAGGCTCAGGGAGCTGAGGATGTGCGGGAGGAATGGCCCAAACCACTAACTGAGGTCATGGTCACCAATAAACCCAGTGGGTGCTAACAGGGGCTGCCCTGAGCCCATGTGTTGTTTTATAGATTTTTACTGAAGTTTTGACACAGATACACTCACAGACAGTTGTAGCATGGCAACAGAAACCCATTTCCCTGCAGGCAGCAAGCCACTTTGATCCTGTCCTGAGAATTAAGATGTGGTGCTGGAAACACACGTGCTGCAAAAGCTCTTCTTCTGTTCACCTGCCAGGTGGATTTAATTTATGGTGTCATGGCTTTCAATGAATTATGGATACAGTGACTGTGCAGAGGAACAGAAACAATGGAGTCATGTGCTGTGTGGCTCCACCTCACTGGCTTTGTTTCATAAGTGCCTGGGCTTTGGTCTGACAGTTTTATTGTGGGAAAAAATAGTTTTCTCTTAGAGATGTTCCAGCCTGGTGACAGCAGGGGAAGGGCTGTGGTGGGAGCATAATGCTGGCCAGAGCACCCAGTCCCCTGAAGATGACTGCAGAGTCTGGAAGCAGAGCTGCTATTCAATGAGCCAAGCAAACTCAAGATAATTTTTCTCAGTATACAACAGAAAAATTGCAGTTTCCAGTTCTTTCAGTTCTGGCATTTTCCCATTGACAACCACAGCTTAGCTGTGTCTAATTCCTTGTAAATGAAAAATGTCTTAGGACTCTCTGTGGATCTGGGTCTGCTCCCATTTACACGTGGGTGGTTTAATGAGTTCAGCAGATGCACCCTGGACTGAGGTGATACTCTGGCCAGCTTTTCATATCCATAGAAATAGCTGAAAAATGCCTGCTGTATTTCTGGGCTCTGGATACTTTACATACCCAGATCTGCCTCTCACAGGCTGACAAGCTCAGACCCAACCATGGTTTTATATATTATAGAGGGCACAAATCTGGGAGTGATCTGGGGGTTTAAATTTTTTTTATTAATGTGGGAGTCACAGATGCTGCCCCCCTGCTTATGTTGTTTTTTGTGGGACATACAGATCCCACTGCTACCCACAGCTGAAGAAGTATTTGCTTTATTTTTGCATTCTTGTTTTTAAAATGTCTTAATAATCGAAACAACAATATGTTGCTTAAACATTATGATGATTTTAATAGCTCAGGTGCTCTGAAAGCATAATTTTGATTATTTGGGGGCTAAGAAATCAGTTACCGACTTCTCTGTTATTCTCTTCTTTTTGCTTGGCTTCATGAAGAGCCCAGGATTATGTTTACGTTTGTGTACGTTCTTGCCATCCTATTTGCTTGAATGTTGCAGTGCTTCAGAGAAAAACCATTAATTTAGCTGTTAGGAGGCTTTCCCATTCTCGTTGAATTTTCTAGAAAATCTCTTGTTGCCTTTAAGGGAACAGGGAAGAAATTTTATTACATGTGCGTGATTTCAGAACTGAGAAAACAGACTGTCTTCAGAAGGAAGTAGTGTCAAATCAGCCTACAAATATATCCTTTAAAATGATTTTGGCTGGAATCCTTCCTGATATGATCCCATCTGAGACTCTGAAGTTACACAAAGAATAAATTTTCATCATTTTTGTATAATCCAAAAAAAATTAGAGAAGGATAAAACATGTCTTGACTTGAGAGTCATGAATAACTCCCTGAGGAGAATGTTTTATGTCTTAAAATGCTTCCCTCTCCTGCAACATGCACAAAGAAAGATATTCTTTTGGAGGAGAGTTAATTAATGAAACCAGTTGGAAAATTGGAGGATTCAAAATAGAATTTGGTCAGTTATTAGCTCTGCTCTTGGCATATGGTTAAAAATCCCACCCACTGAGGGGGTAGTGCTTATCTACAGGGGTAGCTGGGGCACCTGGAATTAAAGTTGTGGCATCTCTGTGCCTTATTTGGGGAATTAAGGATCAAAGGTACCATAAAGTCCCCGGAGTTAATTCTGTCTGAGTCTCAGGCCATTGGTTTCCAGGCAATTATGCTGCAGGGAGTCCAATGCCTGACTTTGGCTAAGCTGCATATTTTGGGAGGAGGACATCAAACCTTGACATAAACAGATGGAGAATCCAGCACGTTTTCTGATGGTTCCATCAGGTCATCAGCACTTCTCTGCTGAAAAATGTGATCCCTCCCTTAAAATGGAATATTTTGGCTTTAGCATCTCAGCACCAGCTCACGTTGTGCCTCTCTTTGGCAGACAGGGGAATAACTCAGTGCCTGGTAATTTCTTTCTGTAGAGGCTCTTAGATTCAAGGATTCACATCACTTCCCTCCCTGCTTTTTAATGAAGTGAATTCTCAGGTGCTGTAATTCCTCCTCTGCAAGGGCCTTTCTCCAGTCCTTGACAGGTTTTGGTTTTTCTTTCCTTTTTTTTTCCCCTTACTTCCAATTTTGTTGTCATTTTTGTTGATGTCTGCTGTGCTCTAGCAGTCTGTTTTCAAGGGCTGAGGTAAAATTTCCTTCCTACATCTCCACTTACTGAAGAGCAACTAAACAAGCCTTTTTCCCCCTTTTTCTAGTTCCCTGACTTGTCTTATCACAGTTCTTGCATCTGTGCTGTCTTCTCAGATATGTACTGCACATTTGAGTTCATGTCAAGAGGACCCAAGATTCCTTGTTTACACTATTTACTACTCATCAGTAACTGTTTTGTTGGGAAATTTTACCACCTTTAATAGATTAAAATGGGAAATCAGATCTTGGACCTCTGCAAGACCCCCTAATTCTCTGTTCTCATGCACCAGACATTCCCCATGGAGCAGTATATTTTAAGAACAGATACTGAGTTTAATCTAGGTAACTTTTCTCTCTAGTGCTCTTTTTGACTTGTTTGAGGGGTTTTTGTTTATTTACAATATGTTTTTCAACTCTGCTAAGTCACATGCCTTAGCAATGTGTACCAATAAAACAAACACATGTAAATATCTTTAGCAAACAGACTTTCAGTCTCATGACAGTTTTTGGGCAGTTAAACAAATGCCTTGGCTTGCTGAAACCTATTTGCCTGCTACTCAGGGACACTGGGAGAATTAATCACTTAATACACTAGATTAAATCAGACATGGCTCTTTTGAGACAAAAATCTTCACTGGGGTCAGCCAGACAGGGCTTCCCTTTCCTCTCCAGAGCCGGTGCTGCTTGCACAAACCTTGCTTTGGAGCACTCACCCTGTGCCAGGAGGGCACCAAGCCGATCTGTATAAACTATTAAATAATAGGGCACAATACTGGGGTTGCAGAGCAGCTGCGAGAGCAGAAATGGGGATTTTGAGCAGCGCCGCCGGAGCGCACCTCGCTGCCCGGCAGCTCCGAAATACCCGTGCGGAATCAACAAACAGCACCGAGCCGGGTGACGTAAAGAGGAGGCCAACTCCATTCCCGGCCTCGGAGTCGCGGGGAGTTTGGCAGGCGCAAAAAGGGGGGAGGAGGACGGAGCCGTAACCGGGCCCGTCCGCGGGGTCGGGGCCGCCCCGTCGGGGCTTCAGCACCGCGGACAGCGCCCGCCCGGAGCCGCGGCCACACGCGGGACCGACCGAGCCCGAGCGGCCCCGTGGTGGCACCGGCACCGGCCCCGGGGGTGGCACCGGCCCCACGGGTCCCCCCTGCCCGTCCTTTCCCTCCTGCTCGCATTCTGTCCCCTCACTGCCCCCCTCCCGCAGCGTCCCGACCTCCCCGCGCCGCGTTCCGTGCCGTCACCTGTAGCAAGAGCCGTCGCTTCTCTCAGGCCACCCGGTGTCCCTCCTGTCACTCCGGTGTTTTTTCCCCGTTTCCAATCAATCGCGCGCCGCCAGCCCCGGCGCCCCCGCCGCCTCCTCCTCCCCGCGGCGGAGTGCCCGACACTCCGCCAACACGGGGCCGGGGCAGGGGATGCTCAGCCGGGCTGGGCTCCCCCGGGGCCGGTGCTCCGTGGCCCGGAGGGGCCGGCGCGCTCCCTTTGCCCAGCGGGGCACAGAACCGGCTCCGTCTGCGTGCGGGGGGGGCCGCGGCCGCGCTGCCCGGCTGGGCTCCGGACGGACAGACCTGCCCGGTTCTCCGGAAGAACAGACCTTCCCGGAGCTCCGGACGGACCTTCCCGGGCGGGCCGCCCGTCCCCGCTCCCCGAGGAGTCCCCCGGCTCCCCCCGCTCCCGTTCCCTCCCGGCCGAGCGCGCACTCACCGCGGGCGCGGAGGGACGCGGGCGGCGCTGCGGGGGCGGCGCTGCTGCTGCAGCCCCAGGGGCGGGGGGGCTGCGCCGGCACCGCCGACCCGAGCCCGGCTGCCGGCCGAGCACGCAGGGCGGAGGGAGGGGAGACGGGGATGGATGGATGGATGGAGGGAGGGAGGGAGGAGGGCGCTGCAGCTCCTCAATTATTCAGCGCTTCCCCTCCCCGCCTGCCGCATGTGACCGCCGGCAGGAGCCGCGGGCCGTGCCGGCTCCGGGAGAGCTCCGTGCCTCCCCCACGGCCACCTCCCCTCCCTGCCGGTCCTCCCTGCCTGGCCAAGTGTCCTCAGGGCTGGGGGTGGCCTCCCCCAGACTGGCTGGCTGGTGAAAATCAACTCTCCCGGCTGCCTCCTGCAGCGCAGGGCTTTCCTCACCTCCGGACAGAGCACAGAGCGTGGGGAATCTCGTTTTTGTTTTCTCCTTGAGCTGCACTGTGAGATTTGAGTGTTAATGCTGTAATCCCGGAACAGGCAGAATCAGGACTAAAATAATGCCTCATGCATTGCAGCATGCTGTGCTGTCCAGCCCTCTGCACAGCCCAGCTGGGAGGAATTAGGTATCAGGTGCAGGATATATTTAATATTTTATACCCGTGGCTACTTAAGAGGATAGCTGAAATTCATGATCAAGATTATTCCCTTTTGCAGTTTTGTTTCTCAGTTTCTGCTGTTTGGTTTGCTCTAGAAATACTCCCTATCTGTATTTTGACATCAAATCCAAACTGGGTTCATCTCCAGTGATGCCTGGGGAGGATCTCGTTTCAGTATCTGTTACAGCTTCATTCTATAGCTTCTAACAGGACCTATTCACTATGAGAGCTGTGTCTCCAGTGGAGAGAGACCTTTCATCCTCTGAAAACTGAAATAAATCTCTTCTGATAAAAGTTAAAGGTGGGATGTTTCAGTGCAAGCAGTTCAGTTCAGAAGCCAATGTTTGCCTAACGTGAGTGACCCTGACAGAGCTGCATCAATGGCAGTGACCTTCTGGGGACATACAGACAGTGACATTGCACAGATACAGGCAGGGTGGGGGCTGGACTGGGTGACCTTTACCCTTCCAACCCAAATTATTCTGTGATTCCATATCAGTGATCTTGTTTTTGGCCAGGAGAGCAGACCACATGTCATCTCCAATTTCCTTTCCAGCCTTGACTCCTGTGGCAATTTTCGTGTCTTCCCAGATGAGCGCCACAGTCTTCCCACTTTATCACCAGATTCCTTCCTCTCTCCAGCACAGCTTTACCGTGCTCTCTTCCCTCCCTCCCTCATGGAAGTCTCCTTGCAGTCCCTCTCCTCCCAAATAGGCACAGAAAACCTCTCCAGGTTACTGCTGGCCAGCAGAAGGTGTCATCACAGGATGACAGGATGCTCTGTTCCCTTCCTGCCACTCTGGCCAGCACACAGCACAGCACAGAGACAAAGCACAGTCAGCTGATTGCCTTCCTCACAACCAGCAGTTTTGAAACCCTGTTTTTTTATTATTTTCCTTATTTTTTGATTGCCTGAAAGCAATGCTGTCCTTGTCTGTGGTCCTGATGCTTCCCATTTGCTTGTTGTTGTTTCTCTTCACATCCACTGGCTTCACTCAGTCCCTGGACATTGGATGGAGCTGTGGATGGCTGATAGCAAGAGCTTCCCCTGGACTACATCTGTGCAAAAGAGAAAACCTTCTCCATTTGTTATTCCCTCTTGTTTTGCGTCACTTTTAAGACCATGGTGAGCTCCAGCTGACAGCACCACCAGCCTCTTGTGCTCACCCAACTCCTTGGTGCTTGTGGAGTGTGTGGGTAAAGACCATGGGCTGGTGTGTTTCTGAAAGGATTGGCAGTGTGGCCAAGTTTTGGGGGGATTTATTTATATGTGTGGGTTCAGAATAATTTGATTTGTATTTATTAATTGGGGCTGGTGTACCAGAGCATGGGCAGTTTGGTCGGTAGAAGCTTTTTGGCCTCTAAAAAATCATTGTGCAGTACCATGACACCACCCCCATCTTCCACCTTTACTGCTCAGAGATCTTTCTTCAGAGGACTTTGCTGTTTTGTAGCTTTCTATGCCCTGTTTTATCCCAGCCTTAATCTCCTTTTTGTAAGATTTCTTCTGTTTTACCCAGTGGCGCCTGCTGTTAGCTATGCACAACAACCTGCTGCCACCTTGAGTAATAAATGTCACAAACATTTTGTCAGAGGATCACTTAAGCTCTTTCCCATTAATCTTTACCTGCTCTCATGAGTTTTGTAACTTCCAATCTTGCAGGAATAGAATCTTCAATTTTTACAGCTACCCCTCTAATGTTCCTCTTCAGGTTGATTAAATGTGGATGAAGAACTGAATGAGGAAAAGTTACTTTCCCAACAAGTCCCATCACTGAGGTCACCCTCAGATTAAGGTGACATTTTCCATAGCAGCCAAGCACATGATGGCACATTTGCAGCAGAATTTCCTCTGTCCCCTGGCACTGTCCAGTTTCTTGATCAAGCTAATTTCTGCCCACTTTTCTGTAGTAAGTGGCCATCTGACTGGTCATTTAAATACTTAATCCTATTCTGAATTTGACCAAGGCTTTGGTCTCAGTAAACCTTGGAACAGGGTGTAACTCCACCAGCTGCTATCTCATTATCTTGGCTATTTTTCTTCTCACCATCAAATTTGGTAATTCCAGTTTTATGGGACATCATTTTCTTTTTTTGTGACTCTAAATACATAGAGAGAAAAAGAAGTCAGCAAAAGCTGCCCTATTGACTTTCTTTCTTACTGTTATTAAAATGTTTGTTTACCTCTCATAATCCCCTCATACTCCTCTCATCCGTGACTAATTAATCATGCCATTTAAATACCACAGTTCCTGCTTTTCTGGGTTATCTCTTTATCTGCACAGCTTCATATTAAAAGAATCAATATCTCTAGCGGCCTGCTGACCCCTAGGTTCTGCTAGGGCTTCCAGCATCCTCACCTCATGGGGCCTCTCTCCCTCCATGAAAACTGCTCAGAGAGGAAAGTCTCATCTCCAGTTCCATTGGTTTGATGCGTTTTCTTCAGTGCTATTTCTCAGAATGTTTTGACATCATTGAAAGTGACTAATGGAATGTTCAAGACAAACAGCTTGGGCTCCCCTTGGATGTACATTGGGGTCCCAATGTGTGTGCTTGGTCACCCCAAAACATTTCTGTTGGTCTTACACAAGTGCACTGATTTGGGTTGTGTTTCCAAAGAAAAAAGCTATTTGAGCCTAGGAGGGGGAAGCTGCAGCACCTTTCCTGTGCCATTTGTGTGTCTCTGTGCTGGCTGCCATCCCTCAGCAGCCTCTGTTAGAGAGCAGGGCTGAAGGCACAGCTTGTCACCCTCCTGTGGGTTAGTGAAGGTGGTTGGAGAGGATCAGCTGTCTGTTAGGAACCACTGATGTTTCACAGGAAAGCACTTCTGTCTGCAGGCACCAGGCAGCACAGGAACATCACAGAGAGCAGCATGGGGGTGCAGTGATGGGAGATGGTCACCCCTGCACTGCCCACTCTGCATGTCCAGCGGCTCATGGCCATGGCTCTGACAAGTGTTCACTCTTGGATTTGGTCTGTGGCATCCCCAGCCATCTCCCAGAGCAGCAGCAGCTCCCAGACATCCACTGCAAAGTTCAGCTTTGTCTCTGAGCAGAGACACAGTGGAGCCCTGCAGAAGTACTAGAAGGTATTTTAGAAACATTACCAGGATGCTTGGCCTCTCTTCTTCTTCCTTTTGCATTGTTGGAACCTCAGTGAGTACCTGTAGGGGTCAGAGTGACGGAGGCATCCCTGTAGGAGGGTTAGAACAAGGATTAATCTTGCAGTCTCATCTGATGACTTGTGCCATGATGAACACCAGCATGAGGAAGGGCAGCCCTGTTATTAAAGTCATTACTTGAGATTTATAAAACCTCACTGGAGTGACTGGCTCTGCAGTTGGAGTCCTGGGTGAGTTCAGAGTTCTCTGCATCCCAGTCATGTGGAATGGCATTGGAAGTGCTGCCCAGTCTCAGGGAGAGAGTTGGCTGCACAGGCTGTGATTTTTCAGCGAGGGATTGTCTTTGCTTTCCTTATGGGACCTCAGTGGGGCGGTTCAGCTGGGGGAATTCTTGCAATTAGCTGGGCAGGTGAAAGGAAGTGCCTGGAGAGGGGAGCTGGGCCTGCCTCCTCCTGACCCCATGAACCCTTACCCTGATGCTCAGGGACTGCAGCCCTGACCCTGCTGGGCACTGTCCATCCCCTGTGAGCCCAGCACCCACAGTGCACCCTCTTCATCATTTAAATCACTTGTGTGTAGTGGAACTGGCCATGGGTTTAATTTTTGCTTAGAGCAATGGAAAGGATTATTCTGGGGTTATTCTGCATTGCTAAGAGGCATCTTGGCCAGGTTGAAAGGAAACATCCACATGGATGTTCCTCATAAACCCATATCAGGTGCTTCCCTCTGCATCAGTGGTGCATGGGCATAAACAGAAACAGGTGAAATCCCAGCACAGCAAACCCTGGCAGTGCTTTGCCATTTGATGTTATCCAGCTAAAATTTCTCCCCGCCCCTTTCCTTCCTGCTCCGTGTCATCCATGCCAGGCTGAGCAGAGAAGATGGGTAATGCATCCATCAGCCACATTCACTGTTGAGAGACACACGGGGTGATGGAGCATTAAATAAATCCCTTTCAAATCCCCATGCAAACACACAGCCCAAGCCTGGCTCCAGCATAAGCTGTGCCTCTCCCCTGGCTGGAGGCTGCCACAGGTGC